CTTAAAATTTGTATAGAGTTTCTGAATCGATATTTCAGGATTTTGGTATCCCAGGCTAGCTGTACATCCACCCCGTGTTTCGTTCCCATCTCTCTGCATCTATAGATGATAGTCTGAGCACACCACATGCTGCAGAGAGAGAACCCGCTGCGCATCCAATTGCTCCCGTATTGTACTTGCGAGGAGGAAAATAACATTTTAATAAGAGTCCCACAAATACAACTATACCAGCGCTAATTACTATTTAAAGCAATTCTGCAATGCAAGTCAATTAAATCATTTCATCTGGCCAATGCAGAGAAATAAAGGCCCCTGTGCAAATCCCTCTGGCGGGGGCTGGGCTGGGTGTTATGGTGGAGGGCAAGAGGGAGCGGGGATGACACCCTCTCTGTTGGCATCTTTTGCTGTGCATTAAATCCCCCAAGGAGTGGGCGAGAACATAACCCGATGGTGGTCCAAACCTTGATTCTTTTGCTATCGTTGGTGCTCACACGCCACCCGGGTGCTCCTCCGCCGTGGATAAACAGACCATCCTTTTTATCTGGACAAGTGAAAACCGCTGGACTGACACATGGCTGCCTATTAATCTCCAAAGTGGAATGTAGTAACGTTTATACACAACATGGTTCCAGTCATTAAATTAGTGGAAAATTAACAATCTCAAGTGTTCACTAAACAGAAAAGACAGCAAACAAATGAAGTGTGTTAGTCAAGGGAAATTTGGGCTTTAATGCGACTAATCCCATACTTGTTTCTTGAGCCACAAGTCACGGTAACTGGAGGAGGAGAACATAATGCGGTCTGGGTTTCATTTGAGGACTCTATTTAATTTTTATTGCTGCGCTGATAATGTTAGTTTGCAATTAACGAAAATATCTACTGTCCCTCAGATACTTCTCTCTTTAATGCTTTAGGTGGTTAACATGGAAAACGTTTTGAACTCTAGAGTTGCTTCTTAGATAAAATAGCTCGATACCCTATTAAAAAAAAATAAAAATCTTGAATTCATCTTTAAACACATCAGCTCGTTAAAAGTATTGACGTAGCTGTGCTTTAAAGAGGGAACGAGCCAAAGCACCTTAACCTCTTTGGGAAGACGAAGACAGCTATCCAAGTGCAGCGTAAAATGCCTTAATATGAAAGTAGCACAGGGCGGGAGAGCTAGGAGAACTATTTAATGTTTACACATGCTTTTCATTCCCAAGGACCTCCGTGTACCCGAGGAGGATCCCTCCTGCCAGCTCTGGGCCAGAGCGGCGCCCCGTGAGCGCTGGGCACCCCAGCACAGCCACCGACCCCCGGCGCTGAGCGCCATCCTCCATCTCCCCTCCCTGACTGTTTGCTTTAGATCTCTTATCGCCCATCACCCTCCGGGCAGTATCGCTGAGCGGCCGCACCTGGCAAACAGAGAGCCTCAGCTTGATGTCAGAGGAGATTTTAGTTGCTTAAACAGAAATAAACTACAGAGGAGCATTTGCAGGGCTGTGAACCTGGGGGTCTGGGGCTTGCTTATTTTTAGGACCTACCCAAAATAAGCTCTCCACCGTTACGCACTGAGGAGGGTTTTGTAAGGCACGTTCCTACTCAGACAAGATGCCTGGCTAAGTTTATTAAACCCCTGGAATACGATCCCTTTAAATATTAAAAATAATCCACTGTATTGCATCTAATTGAAACCCACTGAATACTTAGAGGAAAGGAGAGATGAGTCAATCCCAACACCTTTCACCCACAAGTGCACCAACAGTTTTCTGATCTTCTTTAACCATAGAGCTCCAATGGCCGGACTCGTCACAGGAGTGCATCGCCAGCCATCTAATCTTTCCCCACTCGGCTCGGGTTTCCCCCATCCCAAGGAATCACACACAACCTCTTTGGGGGAGAGGGGATTTTCTTTTCTCTTCCCATGTCTGCGGCTCACTGGGAGCCTGCTTTTTTCATTCCCTCTTTTCTGTCCGCTGCAACAGAGCCATGGCCAGGCTGTTCCCAGAGAGGTCAGGGATGAGCGGGGAAGGGCTCGGGCACGGTACGCCAGACACCCGGTACGCTGGATACTCTCAGGCACAACCCAGATACTTTGCTCAGGCACCGGGTGTTTAATGCCTCCAAAACAACAGCAGTAAGGCAGAGACCCTGAGGAGATGAACTCCCAGTTTTAGCGAGTGTCAAAGCATCAGGGAATGGTAAACCCAACTTTCAATTTTGCCGCTGGGTTGGCTTCATTTTCTCCTTTCTTTTTTTCTGGTTCTCGCCTTTTCAGCCATGCCTCCTTCCCCGATAGCCCCCCTCCACCCTGCAGCACGGGGCCAGCCTGGCATGGCTCTGCACTGCCTGTGGGACCGAGCAGTCAGGACGAAGGGTGAATTATCCTCCCGCTGTCCCCAGCCCTTCTGCAGAGGGAAGAGGGATTTTGTGTCAGGTTTAAGAGTCCCACTGTCCAAGCAGCCTTTGAAGTTCATGCCAAACCCCAAAAGGGAAGCCTAGAGATTTGGATGGGGAGGACTCTGTGTGTGTGTGTGTGTGGGTGTTCACCACTCCATGTATGTGATAATTATCATGTATGATTCCTATTCCACTTATGTGATGGTAGATGCTAGTAAAGACAACTGCACAGGTGGTGGCAAGGAACAAGCACAGAGGGGGCATGCTCAACAACAAGTATGTTCATGAGCAGCTTAATAAATTTATATCTAATAGACACATGTATTTCCTCGCTTGCAAAACACTAATCTGCACCTACCACAGAGCTCTGTTATAGAAGCAGTTTCATGCATATAAATAGTGCTGAAATACCTGACTAGAAGGCACGGGACAAGATCCAGGGTACGGATCCCCCCCATGTGACAGAAAGCTGGCACACCTCTAGCAAACATGAGAAGAGACCAATTATTTTAATTGTTTGTTGGAGTTTTAAATTCACTTTTGCTGTAGCTGCAGGGTGAGGATTCTGAGCTATTAGGTGATACTTTCTTCAGCAAAAGCGTTGCGGTTTCGGTGCCTGTGATTGAAAGAGTAGGTTTCAGCGCTTCATCCTGTACACATGCAGCCTACAAACTATGTTTAATGAAAGATCTTTGGGTTTGTATTCCTGTCTTTGCTGTTTCACATCATCCTTTCCCTGCTAAACTGAGGCTGAAAGGCCTCTCCGCAGATGTTGTTCACTGAAGGCAAACTCATGCTCGCTATTAAGATCAAGAACCCTGTGCTATCTACGGCACGGGGTGTATTCCGGCCACCCAGCAAGCCACTTGGAGACCAGAACCCCAGCGGCTCTCTGCAGGCTGAACGCAAGACAAACCTTGGGGCTGTGGGATCCAGATGCCCCCAAGCCCAGGGCATTATTAACACGCAACACAGATGCCCGGGAGAGGCTGTGGCCGTGCTCTGACCGACCCCTGGGCTCAAGGGGTGGGCTGGGGAAGTGCTCACCCCTTTCCTTCTCTCTTCGTCTCGCTTGGTCATAACCTGGACGACTGCAAAGTTTTAACATAGTGGACCAGAATTTGGGTTTGCTCCTTGAAGATGCTGAGGGTTTTCGAGCCCCGCTGATGTTAGCGTGGAGCGTCGGTGGCTCCGCTTTGTGTGCTGCGATCGCTGAATCATCAGAGAGCGGCGTCACAGCCCCAGTCATCTTCTTACAAATGCCACGTGCCTGCAACCTCCATTCGTGTTTATAATCCATTGCAATTTTTAGCATGACTGGAGTCGGGAAAGTTTATTTCCATGAACTTTCCAGCCCTTTAATGTGAAAAAATAGCAAAGATAGGTAACTAGGAAACATGACTAAACATAATTAAACATAAAATGCTTGTAGTGATAGAAGAACTGACCTCAGCCAATTCAAATTATTAATAGAAAAAATAGTGTCAGTCTGAGTACATCAACAGCGTTGTCATTTCTGTAATCAGGATTAGTTTATATTTCCTGACAACTGAGTGAGAGGCAGTCCAAATTGTAGCTTCTTGACCTTTTTCTCATTCAAAACCAGGTTGAGATACCATGTGAATAAAGACACATTTGCGGGGGGGAGACTGAATAGCCAGTTATGTATTGACTAACTGTGGACCTTTTAAGAATGTTACTCTTTTCAAATATTGACTTTTTTATTGCTTCTCTTACAACTGCAATGGGGGAATTTAAGAGCCCCACAAACTACTTTATCATATAATTAGTTTATCAGTAAATTTGGACCTCGTACATCAATCACTATAATGCATAACCTCCACCGAGACAGAAACCAGATGTGCGTGCTTCTGCTTTCTTCTTTATAGTATCTATGGCATCATTAGTGCCTGTGCTACAGTTTAAATTGAATTCAGCAAAAAGCAATGGTCTTACCCCCCTGCAAGCAATCTGATATTGC